TAATCTTCTTCTTCCTCTTTCTGCTTGTCATATTTTTTTCTGCTTCTTCACCAAATTTTCTTTATCTTCTCTCCCGCTATTCTTCTGCTGTCTTTTACCTATCATCGAAGAACAGACAATACCTATTCTAATGCCAAGCCCTTTAAAGACACGTTCATGGCTATCTGATTTAATATGATTTGATTCAAGAACCGACATCACATCATACGGGGCATTCTCATAAGCGCGCCGTCCCCATTTTCAGCAGCCATGCAGAGATCCAATCGCAATGGTGCCAGTAGCAGTCGATTTTATGTCTATGTTGCCTTTCCTCTTAGCATTGAATATCGACTAGAACCCGTGGCCACTCCATGATACATCACGTCCACCAGACTGTGAGGATCAATTTGCTGTTCCGAATTGCACGAGTGCTACTATAAGGCCTTAACCACGTCTGCCTTCTCGTGCATCAATATTCCACCAAGTTGTGCAGAGCCAGCCAATCTGTCATTTCCTAACACACCGGCATGCCCCGAGGAAAAGATCCAGACAATTCTCTTCACCCTTGATCTCCAAAGCGAAGCATGCCTCTCTGCAAGACGCAAGCCGGTCTTCACCTTCCTCAGCATGCAATCTGATTCAACAGCTCAAGGCCTATGATTGGATGAGGAGGTTAGTCTTACTATAACTCCGTTAGAAGTGTTATTCACCAAAAGGCTTCAAATAAATACCTTAAAAGTGTGACTGAATTTAAAATAACCACGCCACTGTCTTTTAACCTGTCACTTTTGTTGCTAAGGATGCCAAGAGTGTTAAGCACAGGGCATCATGGTGCAGATGAACACAATGACATTATAATGGCAGTTTAAAGATGGTCACTTTTGACATGCATCATAGAGCAGCTGTAAAGGGCGTACCAGATGACAACGGGTACCATCAATAGAGATTCTTCACCGGCAGACCAGGTAGACGGAGTTATCATGGACTGGCCCAGAAAGCTGCGTCTCGAATTTTTAACGAGGTGACCTTCAAAAGTCTCTACGACATCCTGATAATTTAAGGTCATAGTATACTTTGCTTCACTTACGGTACTCTTTAACAAATGATAAAGTGAAATTCACAAAAGTTAAAAGTAATCTATACAACAGCTTTACTGAAATTCATAAATGTAACATTAATCTACAGAATAGGTTTACCGAAATAAAAAAAAAAGTTAGAGTAATCCATGTAATAGTTTTACTGAACGCCATAAATGTAAAAGTAATTTACAGAATAGTTTTACTGAAATTCATAAAAGTTAAATATGCAACAGTTTAAGTGAGATTAATGAAAGTAACCCATGCAACTTTTGTGGTGAAATTCGTGAAATTAAACTTTATGCAACATTTAGTGGTGAAATTCGTAAAAGTCAATTTATGTAACTTTGGAAATCAAATTCGTGAAAGCAAAATTTATGCAACTTTTGTAGTGAAATTCGTGAAAGTAAAATTTCTCTAACTTTTGTAGTGAAATTCGTGAAAGTAATCTATTCAACTTTTGTGGTGAAATTCATAACAGTGAAAGCAAAGTACAAACTTGTTTTAATTATTTTCAAAGACTAGAGAATCATTTGATCAAATTAGCGAAGAAAATAATAATTTACGCAACTGCTAGACTGCAGCTGATTAAGGTAAAAAATAAATAAATAAATAACTGGGTGTAGGATACTGACACAATAGCAAAAAACATTCATCATCATCATCATCAACATGTTTTTTTACACGTAGAACAGGGCTAGTAATCCAGTCCTCAATTCTCTTCTATCATTGTGCAATCCTTTCGTTACATTTTAAGTGGATGATTCCATCTAGCACCTTTGGCTTCTTCTAGCAATGTTCGTCTTAGGGCTTCATTTGGACTTCCTCGTTTCCCCAGTCCATCGGTTTCCCATTTTAATGTCTGTTATTGAGATTCTCTACTCGTTTCTTCTCAGGATGTGGATGATATAGCGCCACCTTCTTAGTGATAACAACTGCAGTATATACTAAATGGCTCACCCGCCTCGCTAGCGTAGTTATTTAAACATGACTTCGCAGCGACCGGGTGACGAACTTCTTGTGGTCCGGGATTTTGCCCGGGGGTAGGCAGAAAAGCCACATTTCTCCCAGATTGACGGTATCTATCATGGAATCAAGGCCGAAGAGTTGCGATATAAACAGTACCGAGCCAAAGGGTTAACAACTTATGGTTTCTGGATTCTTTAAAAAAAAAAAAAAAAAACTAGAAGGCAACATACAGCACTAAAAATTAAAAAAAAAAAAAAAACATCGGGTAAGACATTTTAGTCCTCCCGCTTCAGAAGTGAATCCTAAGTGGAATAGCTAACGCACTATCCCACAACTTCAAGGAAGATAACATCAAGCGTATAATTTTCACTGGACAGCACCATGCATCTTCTTCATTTTTTTTGTGTGTAAGGGAATTGCCAAACCTAGGTCCCCACCATTCTACTGCAAGGGTGTATGCTTTGGCATACATTTACGTCATGTTCATATTCCCATAAGTCGCCGTGGCAGAGCGGCTAGACGCGCGCCGCGGATCGGAAGGTCGTGGGTTCGCTCCCTGGCGGAGACGGACTTTTCTTCAAAAATGACCTTGGCTACCAGGTCGACCCAGCCTTGAGTGGGTACCGGGTGAAATCCCGGGAAGTAGAGGCGGCCAGCGTGATGCTGACCATATCACCCATCTTGTGCCGTTGGTCTATAAAAATATAGGTCTAGCCTTATATGCCCTATACGCCTAAAGGCGTGGAAAGGGTCGTTTACTTTTTTTTTACATATTCCCATAACAGATTCCATTCAATGTTAGACGGCTCATGGGTAGGTTTTGTTTTATAATAACATTGCAAGAGCAGTGTTCTCATGGCCCACACTCTGCAAACTGAAATCACATTCCAAATTCTTCCAACACATTCATATTATTCAAGACTGGATGACTCTTAACTTCTATCGCTGTCTTCCTTAAAATGGTTGATTTATTCAACCGATCAACATCATGGCACACGGTTATAAACCATAAGTGCTCCGTTCTACTTCTAACTCAAGCCTGAGTATGAAGCAGTTCAGCGCAGTGCACGAACTTCGTTGCACCGGCGAGGATCCTAATATAATTTGGGTAGATTTTAAACTGGGGCAGCGTCGTTAGGCTACAATGTTCGATTTACAAATGCCAAGGAAGTTGTTTACGTGCGCAACGATACACACGGGCGTCCGATCTCACTACCCAGAGACAAGGGGAAATCGCTGAAAGTCGAGTGAAAAAATCACAGCATTCACCTGGGTTTGAACCCCGGACTCCAGCACTGGAGACGGTGGTCTTTGAAAATATTGACAGAGTGGTTACTTTATGGTCTAATCTTTGCGATCTCTGTTTCCAGCGGAATTTTAAATGCACGACTTGCACACATGCCCTCTTGATTTCCACCACTATCCAAGAAGACAAGATATTACAACTCATTACTGCAAGAGATGGTAGGCTCTGTGGCTAAGTCGATGTGAACGCTTCGCTTCGAAATGGATGCCGGGTTCGATCCCAGTTGCGGGCAATGCGCCTTGCGTTGGTTTCGACAGTGGTATCAAAAAGCTGACCGTTCAGAGAGCAATGGCAAACTACTGGACGTAAATTTGCCAAGAGAAACCACACAACAGCCAGGGGCTGTTAGGGTTGGTTCTACAACGTCCTGTAAAGGATACGCAACTAACTGCAAGATTACGAAAGAGCTTATAGATTGGCCGGTTCAGCCTTGGTTGCCGATGGTCGGCCTATGGATCGCGCTGACATTGATAATGTCCTTAGAGAGATAGGACGATTGCAACATTTTGGGCAGAGCAGCATGTCTACGTCATTTCTAAGAGATTCGGGAGTAAAGATCGTCCCAGCCAAGCATGTGAGGCGACCGGAGACACAAGAGGTCTTGTTAACCGGCAAAGGATTGACAATATTAGCTGCAGTATGTTGATGTAAAAGCTGAAAGGGAAATTTGAGCACCCATAGAAGTGTCTGGAGTGCCATGAAGTTAACCCTGCTCATAAACAATAACTCATGGAGAGATTATTTGGACTGATATCGCTCAAAACCAATAGCAGTATGGCATTACATACATAGGTGAAACGGGTTTACAACTGGCTGACAGGTTCAGACAACATCTTTGGGATGCGCAGAACGGCGCACTGAAACTAGTACCACTGAATTTCAATTCCTAAGACCAACAAGGTGTCCATGACATAAAGGTGACATCAATTAAATCTAGCCACTCTAGCAACATAGTTCGCAAGTCTCTTGAAAATCGCTTTATATACATTGGGAACTGGCGCCCAGTGGACTAAACTGCCAACATAGCTTCATCTAAATCCTAGAGGGCTGAGCTGTCTACAGTTTCATCTTATCCTCGAGTGACGGCCCCTGACATATCCGGGTATATTTTCCCCGGCCCCCCGTTCTTCGCCAGACTATTGTCTTGACATCGACCTGGCTGCCACGAGAAATGAAGATAAGTGATATTGTGTATTTGTGCAGTAATGTCTAATCTATGTATGTGCTGAAGAAGGCTCCATAGCCGCAACGTTCATGTTCTGTGTGTGTTAGCTATATTGTGAAGCTCGCTGGCACACTTTTCGTTCGGTTTTATATCTTTCCCTGATAAAACCAATAGCAAAAACATCAAGCCCTATCTATAAAGCAAAGTGAGAAACGCTGAAACCAAGGCAAACACATGCCTCTCCAAATGAAATTTCCCTCACAAAATGACATCTTCACAAAATGACATCTCCCTCACAAAATATGTGCTTAACGTTTGCATTAAAAAAAAAAAACACATATAACATAACGCACTCACAACTCCCTTATCACAAGCGTACAGACTTTCAATTTGCATTATATGTTTTCTACTGATGTCTTTTGGAAGCAATGGTTCAAAATCGTGACAACTGGGTCTCTTTTAATTTATTAGACAATCCCTTACAGTATGTGAAGTCCATAGTGTCTTATCTGTCTTCTACCGTTAGCTGTTCCATATGCAGCAGCCCTTTCTTGATTTCTGCACGATATTTTGCCAGATCCTTTCTTGTGACCATGCCAATTGGCTGCAAAGAATATCAACAATTTGGTTTTATTTTTTTGTTTCGGTGAAATAAAAATGAGCCGTCTAAATGTTCTGAAACGGGTTAAGACACAGAATTAACATCGTAAACAGAAAGACTTGGTCATAATTTTCTGATGAAGATTGAAACCAATGATTAGAGCATTCTCAACACATGGGCATGACCGGCACTTGCCCGACAGTCCCACAAACTAAGGTAAGGTTTGTTGCGTATCCTTTACAGGACGTTGCAGAACCAACCCCAGCAGCCCTTGTCTGTTGTGTGGTTTCTCTAGGCAAATTTATGTCCAGTAGTTTGCCATTGCTTTCTGGACGGTTTTCGAAAACAGAGTCTTACGACGAATTTTTAGACCCATCAAAGATGCAAACAGCGGGGAATGGAGAGTGAGAAAAAAACAACGAAATTCATAATCTGTTTAAATTACCATTGATAACTAGCATCATGAGAGCTAAGAGACTGAAATGGTTGGTGCATACTGATAAAATGTCAGATGACAGAAAAGTGAAAACTGTACACACAAAGAAGATGAATGGTCGTAGACCACGAGGCAGACCAAGAAGACGATGGAGAAATAATGTCCAGACAGACCTGCAAACACTTGGTGTCACCAACTGGAAAGAGAAGACCAACCAGAGAGATGAAACGAGCAGCAAAGAACTTCAAGGGCCCGAATGTTGAAGAAAAAGAAGAAGAAGAAAACCTTCTGTCCATGTCATGTGTTATTCGTTATCATGAAAATCTACAACCTTTTATCTCCTGTTCTTTCAATCAACAGTCTTATGTTTTGTAGAACACAAATGATCTTTCATGCCATGATGTCAGATTGTCCCGCATCTTTTCTGTCGGTCTCACTATGCCTTCTTTTTCCCTCCAACTGTCGCACCATCACAATATACTCGTTTCCTCCGTCTTACGACATGACTAAAGAATGTAGATCGTCTCCTTCTGATGTAGGTAGAAAGTTCTCTTCGTAAGTCTATTGCGTTCAAGACATCTCAATTCTTCTTCTTCTTTTTCGTGTCCATCAGCTGTAAACTCTGGCGGAAAGCTCTGGTTGTTCATCCACTTCTGGATTGCAGTCCTGTTCCAGAACCTGAGTGTTGCCTGTGCATCCGTTCTACAGATCTGACTCATTTGTATGCAGACTGCTGGTTCCTTGCCAACAGGCAGATGCGACTTCGAAGGAAGCTCCCAAATAGTCGATTCTCGCGACATGCTTTTGGGTCTGTTCTTGTTTTCCTTGTAAGGGGGCCTCAGAACTCACACGGGCAACATCCTAATTAATTACTTTCGTATTACTGTTCGAGAGCCACAAGGGCATTTTTTTTAAATAGTCCACAGCAGAAATCGAACCACTGTACTTAAGTAAAGACCCCTTTTTACACGTTTAGGCGCATCGGGCATTTGGGAAGAGCACCATTTTTTTTACAGACCAGTCGACTCTAGGCATTACGCCAGCCGTCTTTGTTTCCCCTAGACAGCCATCCTTGCACCCAGTTTAGGCTGGGTGGACCTGCGACGCCACATACCATGATAAATTCCACGCAGCCAGCAGTGGGTTTCGATTGCGATACGTTGGAGTTACCAGTGGGACTCGCAACACCTAAGCCAAGATTCCTTACTTACTTAAAGATAATGAGAAATAATGCTCCCCCCCCCCCCCAATCCTATTCTTGTCTGTAGTGCTCACCTCAAAGTCTTCATTCACAACAACCAAATGCCGCAGTCCAAGACCTCTAAACAAGCGGAAAACTCGAGGCATTGAAAAATTCTGTGGAAAAGAAATACAAGAATAGAATTTAAATAATATGTATAGTCACCACTGTGAGGAGCGGATGGCCGAAGGGTTAGAACGCTGGGTTCTAGAGAGGGAGATCCGGGTTCGAATCCTCAATAAGGTTGAGGATTTTTGTTCTGTCGAAGGACACAATAAAATCCTCATCTGCACAGTCGTGGCGACAGCACTAGCTCAAAGACGCCCCCGATTACACCGCAAAAGTAGTATAATAAAGGTAATTTTTGGAGTCACCACTGTGCTAACGGAACAACCAGCATCCGTCCACTAAAACACTTGTTGTTGGAGATGGAGCATCTCGGCTATGTCTGGCTGATACAGCATCTCGGCTATGTCTGGCTGATAGAGCATCTCGGCTATGTCTGGCTGATACAGCATCTCGGCTATGTCTGGCTGATAGAGCATCTCGGCTATGTCTGGCTGATAGAGCATCTCGGCTATGTCTGGCTGATAGAGCATCTCGGCTATGTCTGGCTGATAGAGCATCTCGGCTATGTCTGGCTGATAGAGCATCTCGGCTATGTCTGGCTGATAGAGCATCTCGGCTATGTCTGGCTGATAGAGCATCTCGGCTATGTCTGGCTGATAGAGCATCTCGGCTATGTCTGGCTGATAGAGCATCTCGGCTATGTCTGGCGGATAGAGCATCTCGGCTATGTCTGGCTGATAGAGCATCTCGGCTATGTCTGGCTGATAGAGCATCTCGGCTATGTCTGGCTGATACAGCATCTCGGCTATGTCTGGCTGATACAGCTATGATCCCTGGGCCTGAGGGTCAAGACAAAGAAATGACTACGAAGAGGACAAGGAAACCGTAAACACAATGTGCACTGTGAAAACACCAGAGTGACAGATTGTTCTGGCTTTTGACTGATTGACGACAGTTTTAATGTGCTTCGAGTTGTTCAACACTGAACAACACAGGGGCATTTAAACAAAGGTCAGTAAAAATCACGCTCAGGAAGTGTGTGTGTGTGTGAGAGAGAGAGAGAGAGAGAGAGAGAGAGAGAGAGAGAGAGAGAGAGAGAGAGAAGAGAGAGAGAGAGAGAGAGAGAGAGAGAGAGAGTCAGTGCAAGTAGGATTGCAGTACCTGTGTCTTCTTCCCCTGCCCTCTATTCCCCAGTGGAGCATAGGCCCTCAACCAACTCACGCCAAGTCGTTCTATCCTTCGCTATTACATGCAGCCCACACCACGTCCTCATAATCTTTTTAACTGAACTCTCTTGCTCCCTTCTCCATGTAGTTTTTAGGCAGCCTTGACTTTTACGCCCTTGTGGGTTCCAGTGTAAAGACATTCTAGACATTCTAGTAATACTATTCTCAGGTTGTCTCAACGTATCCTATACAACGCCAGTTTCGTTTTTCTCACCTCTTGGTCCAATGGAACTTGTTTAGTTCTCTTTCAAAGTTCAATTTAAAAAGGTGTGTGTGTGTGTGTGTGTGTGTGTGGGCAGGGGAGTGAAAGAGACAGAGAGAGAGAGAGAGAGAGAGCAAATGAGAGAGAGAGAGAGCGAGAGAGAGAGAGAGAGAGAGAGAGAGAGAGAGAGAGAGAGAGGAGAGAGAGAGAACATTAGAGACGCAAAGTGTGTGAGGCAGATATATAGATTAAGAGAAAGGAAAAAAAAAACAACGCTGAGCCAAAGAGAACTACAGAAATATATAATAAGACAAAGCAAGAAACAAATATATATATATATATATATATATATATATATATATATATATATATATTGTGGCGGGTAACTTCGCTTTACACTAGCGACTGCACTATGTGCAATTCACAGAGGGAATTACAAACAGTGAAACATCATAAGGTATTATAGTAACCCCAGCCTTGCTGGTTAAATGAGAGGATTCGGGGTTTGCCCACATCTTATTCCCTACTGTAATTAAACTTGTATATTTAAATGTTCTTAAGTTCACTGACAATGTTTACAGTTAAAAGGAAACTCCATAAAACTGTAGGAACATTAAAACTAACATTTATTAGGATTTTCAAATCAATATAAATTCAAATGATAACTAAATGGCTGTGGATATAAAATCCTGTTATACAAGGTTAGTGAACACTGTCCACTTAGCTGTGGCTTAGGTTTCTGTTGTCAGCTTCTGACTAAGCTTCAGAAACACATCAGGCAGGCCGAATCTTCCAGTCCAGTCCAGACAATCGGGTATCTGCAGCTAAGCTTAGGATCTACTTCTGGAGCTCCCACCTGTAAGTACCATCTGGAATACAATCTGGAACCCTGGCAGGGAATTCAAACAGAAAATTGGACCACAGGCGGACTAAGAACTTTAGTCTGAACCGGTCAATTTCTGAATTGAAAAGGGAACAGGAAGTCTTTAAAAAGGAGGAAGTTACTCTTCAGTTCCCCTTGACTAATCATCTCATTCGCCTTTATTACCTTTCAACTCTTTAATTATAATTTTGCTCCAATGAAGCATTAAGAAAGGGGTAAGAAATTTCTTAATTAATCCAGTGTTATTATGCTAATTAAAAGCACTAGGAAAATGTTTAGAACTTTGGTAATAATATAATCTTTTTTTAAAAGGACAGAAACAGCTGTCCAGACCAGCTCGTCATATATATATATATATATATATATATATATATATATATATATATATATATATATATATATATATATATATATAGAGAGAGAGAGAGAGAGAGAGAGAGTGAGAAAATAAAATCCCTACCTGCACAGTCGTGGCGACAGCACTAGCCATGCGGTCGTAAAACCTCAGGCTCAAAGACCCCCCCCCCCCCCCCCCGTCCCATCCCCTTCCGCCGTAAAAGTGACACAATAAAGGCATTAATTGGCAGTATATTGACTGGTTGGTTATGCCAACACCATAGAAGTCCTACTTACTTCTGATACTGTGTAGGGTGTTTGGTTCATGTATGGGGTGAGATTCATCACACATTCCTTCTCTGCGTCACTTAGTGTTATGTCCTGCAGAAATAAATAGCTCAATAAAAACAAAAACAAAAACAAAAAATCAACCCTTTCAACAATAACAAATGTATGTCCTGCAATTAAAAAACTAAAGTGTCTATTTTACTCTGGATGTTTTCGGGTACAACCATATGTGAGTCTAATGTGTTCTTAAAATGTATGACCATTTTCCCCTGGATGTTTTCGGGGACAATCTTTTGAGAGTAAAATGAGCTCTTAAAATGTGCGACCATTTTCCCCTGGATGTTTTCGGGGACAATCCTGTGTGAGTAAAATAAGCTCTTAAAATGTATGACCATTTTTCCCTGGATGTTTTCGGGGACAATATGAGAGTAAAATGAGTTCTTAAAATTAATCAGGGACATAAGATTTCATTATGTAACAGTCCCCGAAAATCGGAAACAAAAGGTAACCTTATATTAAAAGCCTTCTTAAACGGAGAAATGCGTTACATACCCATAGCCCATAACCTACCACAATCAACTAGCTACACGCACACTGACATAAACCCCAACAATTTCACACTGGACCTAGTTGGTGTACATATCATAATATATAATTAACTGACCTGAATTCTCAGGCTCAGAGACGTCGATTGGGAATTTTCGAAGTCAGCAAGACAGACGCTGTTTGCGGGCATCTGACCTTCAGGACAGAATACCTGGGAATGAGAAAGCCTGGGTTTTTCACGAAACATTTAACTAACAGTGAAAATTTACGACACTAAATGTAGACTGCACATTTTATTGCCTGGCATATTTCGCTTTACTTGTCAGGTACATACTACAGCAACAATTACCTATGTGATAGGCTGGGAAACGACAAAGACTACTGTTCAGCAGCTTAACGATTTTCATTTAATCTAGTTTAAAAATGACAAAGAGGCCACAGGAACAGCTTTTAGTTTTAGACAGTAAAATGGGGACAAGTCTGGCCACTGGGTATAAAAAGGCAAACTGACTCAGTATTTGCTTCCTATTTGACTTCGGGACGCACCCTCTTGAGACCTACCCGGCTGTTGTAGCTCTGCACTCGGGGTTCGACAGCATAGGCGTGGGCGACCACAGGGAAAGGCCGGTTGTCAAACTGATTTAACAGGCGGTGGTACGTTTCCATATTCAGTCCTAAAATAGTAGTCTCTAGTAGTTATGCTATGTAATTTGTAGGGGTGTATTCTCGCTAGGATGGCAGGTAGCTATAAGTGATTTGTTGGTCTGGTGGCAAATTGAAGCTTAACGTACATGTTAAATATGTTTCGGTTTTTGCCATTGTTGAGGTAATCTCGCTGGGCCTAATGTGTCATTATCATTTTTCCTTGTTAGCTGATGATCGCTTCAGATTCTGGTCGAACACGTTGGTTGTTGTTAATGTTATTTGTAGACCACGCTGATGTTATGTTAAGTAAAATAAACAGCTGTTTAAGGTAATTATAATTCATTTGCTTGATTTAATTTAGGATCAGTAGTCCGTGGTTCGTCTAGATGTATGTATCCATGTAGTTAAGTCGTCGTCATGTAACTCACGATACAGATGTTCATTGTTTGGGCCTAAGTGAAATATTATAGAATCTCTGCGCAGAAGAACCCTTGTCATTTCTTTACTTTCCTGTTTTTGCTGTTAAGTGGGAAACTATTACTATTACATTTGGTCTTAATCACAATTTTCCTTTTTATCTCCCCTACTTCTGTGTTATTCCTTCGCTTTTTTTCTTCCCGTTAGCACACATAGATTAAGCAAATAAGTGAATTCTTTATAACTAAATAACCGAAGTAGGGGGCTGCGTGGTCTCGAGGCATGGTCTCGAGGCATGGTCTCGAGGCGTGGTCTCGAGGCATGGTGTCTGCCTCCAGTGCTAGAGGTTCCGGGTTCAATCCCTGGTAGGACGAATTTTTTTTTCACGTGGCCATGGATTTCTAGTAATTTCCCCTGATCTCTGAGATCGGGGGCCCGTGTGCATTGTTGCGCACGTAAAAAAAATCCCTTGGCAGTTGGAAATCGAAAAGAGTAGCCTAACGGCGCTACTCGGGCAAAATTGTGAGGTAAATATCTACCCAAAGTATTTCAAGATCCTTGCCGGTGCTACAGAGCCTGTGCTGATATTCTTCGGACTCAGGCTTGAGTTAGAAGAAGAACGGAACACTTATGGGTTACTACCCGTGGGCCATGATGTTCAAACTTCAAACTAAAGTACACATTCCATAACAATCAAACGCAACTGCTTTTTTTTCCACAACAGCTGCAGTGTTTAAACAAGCAGTTGCGTTTGACTGATTGAGGCACTAACTTCTGCATCATCATCATCAGCATCATCATCATCAGGTGCGTCGCCACGAAGAGAAATCTAAGGTGCCCTCAGCCCCCTTATAGATGTCTTCGGAAAAGGGGGGAGGTCGAAAGGGGCTCAAGTGGCTTAAGATTTATTTAACTTCGTAAAATAATAATAAAAAGAAGAAGAGAAAGAAGACAGGTTCTGACTGGCAACACAATATAACTACATTTTAAATAATGTGAAATGTGCGCATACATACTTTAAAAAAAACATGTTGGGAAATTTATTGGAGGGGGCTTCAGCCCCCCTCCCTTTTCCCCCCATCTCACCCAAAGTTGTTTTTCTTGACATCCTTAGCCCCAGCTGCAGCGCCCATCATCATCATCATCGTCGTCGTTGTCATCATCCCGTTCTCCTCCTCTTTATCATCATCATTTTCATCCTTCTTTTGTGTCATTATACATCACTTATTGCTTGCAGTTAATTATTCCATTTCATTTTATCACGTTGTACTATTTCAATATCATGGAAGGAATCCGGTCCCGAAGGAGCTTTGGCTTCTCTCATCAACGTTCATCTTATGCCCTTGTTCTACTAGTTTGTGCAGCACACTTTTTTTTTTAAACATTATTTTGTGGCTGTCCCCATGCTCAACCCTCCTCCTTGCTCATGCCGTCTTGGGACCGACAATGGCAAAGATCATAGCATGACAACTGCCATAGAAAGATACATGACAAAAACTGAACGTATCGTTCATTACCCGCTTCTCCAGAAGCACAAGAATCTGATGCCGGAGTATGATCCCCTTTAACTTGCCCTTGTACATGACATCACACTGTAACCAAAAGGGTATTAGCTATTAACTTTTTTTTCTGGAATTATGAGTAGTAAATATTCTTTTCTGAAACTGTCAGGAACAAACACTGTTTTGTGAAACTGTCAGGGATAAACACTGTTTTCTGAAACTGTCAGGGGTAAACACTGTTTTCTGGAAGTTCCAGGAGTAGACATTGTTTTCTGAAGCTTTCACGGGTAAACATTTCTATCTGAACCTTTCAGGGTAAACAATGGTTTCTAAAACTTTCACGTCTAAACATTTTTTTTTTTTTCTGAAACGACAGGAATTAACATTGTTTGTTTGAAACATTCATGGGTAAAACGAGGAGCAATAGAGGCACAAACCCAGTAGCTCTAGGGATTATATCTAAGCATCTCCCTAAAAACGGCACTCATGAACCAAACAAATCCGTGAAATGAACCCACGATCTTTAGAAATGTGTGTAGTGAGTCATTTTCTCCTTGTTAATTTATGTTCGGATTTGGAAATGAGGTCCCCCGTGTGGGTTCCGGGGCCCTATTGTGGGGAAAACAAGAATAGACCCACTGCCTCCCCAAAAGCATGTCGTAAGAGTCGACTAACTGGGGAGCTTCCTTTGAAGTCGGAGTGCATCTGCCTGAGAGGCAAGGAACCAGCAGTCTGCATTCAATTAAATCAGTCTGTACTGTGCACAGCAACACTCAGGTTCTGGAACAGGACTGCAGTCCAGAAGTTGTTAATTTACACCAGAGTTTACAGCTGGTGAACGCGAAGAAGAAGAAGAAGGTTAAATACTAAACATACATTATGCCCCTGGAAGTCGGTTAAATCTCAGTTGAAATGTCTTGGAACAACATTTAATGAAGATGGTAAATTAAACGAAGAAAATGACATTCGATGCAGTAAAACTGGCCAAGTATTGGGACAGCTAGCCTCCTTTTACAGCATAAGGCAAACTCAGTCAGCATAAAGATACATCTCATGCAAAGCATATTCATTCCCACCTTATACCACCATGCCAGACGTGGTCACTCACAACAAAATATAAAAAGAAAATTAGTAACCATGGATATGAGGTGTCCGAGAAAGGCTGTAGGAGTGACCAGAAGAGATAAAATCAGGAATGAGGTCATACGAGATAAAGTGAACCTAATTCCAAGTTACATAGAGAGACAGCAACTCAAATGGTTTGCCCATGTGAAGAGAATGCCTTCTAAGGCTATACTATTCAAGTCATATACCAAAATAGGATAGGGGCGTAGAGCAAGAGCTGGACTAATTTCAAGATGGAATGATAACATCAGAGAAGCTCTACAGCACCACGATTTGTCTTTGGTCGAAATAGCCAGTAAAGCACGAATCTAGACTTTATATTTCTCTCGACACCCGAAGCGGTAAAAAAGAACGTAAAGAAGAAGAGATCGGTTGAATGCAGTGTTGCTACTTTGGATGTTTTACATCCAGATTTAGATGTTTTCCCTTGCTTTTAGATGGCGTTTTTGACGTTTAGACGGTAGATTTTTTTTCATTTTGAGTGAATTTATCAAATCTAACCTAAGAAACAGGATAAAATTTGACCTCTCAAATGCTATCTTGACAATAAAATTCGGCCTGATAAGAGTAGGAAAAGGCTGTTCCCCTTATCAGCTCCCTGATTAGGTATTAAAAGAAATTGGAACAGCTAAAGCATACCAGAGTCATTTTGGATCTGAAGCTTCAACTTCATCATCCAAGCTAAGTTTATCCTGTGGATCCTGTAAGGCAGACTTCAGTAAAGATGAGAACATGATTCTATAGGGTAAGTCACATCAATACCTATGTAATTTGTGACTCTTTCCATGTGGATGTTTTTTCTAGATGTTTTTCCATACACATTTAGATGTTTTTAGATATTTTTTGACTTCGTTTTGGATGATGTTTTTTTCTCCAAAGAAAAGTGGCAACACTGGTTGAATGAGATCGAGCACGAAGTATAATGTATGAATATCTCGAAACAAGCTGGCGAGTTGGCTAAAAGTGTGACAGCTGGGAGAAAGCATGAATCATGTGTTGAATGTTCGAGAACTCGAGAGAGAGAGAGAAACAGATTATTTAAAAGGAATGATCGAGAAGTTTCATTCTTGTTTTCGATCCCTGGACAGTATGTCCGAGGGCGGTGGACGAGTGAAAGTCCTGTGAATCTACAAGCAAGTGAATGTCTGCTCAAGCAATGACTGTGGGTCCCGAGAAAACCTCTTGTTTAGCATGAAATCTCGTCATTACCGAACGTCGTTTGCTTTTCGCGTGAGTGGTTGTAAACCTTGAAATGTTTACGTCTAAAAGTGCGGCGTTTAGTTATCCTGTGAAAGGTAACGTTATTAATATTGATGCTTTGTAGGTGGCCGATTTGCTTGCTGTTGTACCCCACCTGAACATCACACAAGCGATAAACACCCGGTGACACAAAAGTGCCACCATGCGGATGAAGATCACCCGTGGAGAGGTCCCAGAAACCTATTTCTCAGCCGTTATGGCCACATCTGTGGCCCAGCTATAATCAGGGCTCCCGGCAAACGCCAGGGTGGGACTTCAAATAACGAAAAATTGCATCCCACAAAGGGACGACTTGAATAGTTGGCCGATTTGGTCGTCTATAGACTTTTATACCTCTAGTACAATGGCAGAGGAAACAGTTGTTGGAACTGATAAATATTTCGTACCGATCAACAGTGTGGCGTTTCCAGCGTTCCGTGTTTCGTGTTGAACTATCTGTCAGTGTGCCTGAGTAGGCTGCATGCGACCAGAGCCTGAGAGAGTCGTTGCAGTAAGTCCACACGACTACAGAGAGCCCCCCCCCCCTCCCACCACCCACCCCTCTTCCCCTATCCCTTTTCAACAAAACAAACGTTTTATATGAAAATTAAATATTAGAATAAAACAGAAAAAAATAATATAATGTAGAAGACAAAATAGAAGTTATTTAATTAAGAAAACATACGCTTAGATCTTGTTCTATAACCGGAAATCCATGGAATGTCTCTCCAGTGAGGCAGTCATAAATATGACCGACTTTTTCCACAGCTAAAAGAGTCATAACAGGCTGGCTCATGAAGTCACTGGGTAAGACAAGAACAAATTAAAACAAACTAAAGGGTAATTCTAATGAGCATATTTATCTTTAATGGTATTGCTGAATACACGTAGAATAGTGCAGTTATTATACTCCCCTTATCTTTCTTCTTCTTCTTCTTTTCTTCTTCTTCTTCTTCTCTTCTTTCTCTTCCTTTTTCTTCTTTTTCTTGTTCTTCTCCTCCTCCTTCTTCTTCTTTTTCTTTTTTCTTCTTCCTCTTCTTCTTCTTCTTCTTCTTCTTCTTCTTCTTCTTCTTCTTCTTCTTCTTCTTCTTCTTCTTCTTCTTCTTCTTCTTCTTCTTCTTCTTTCTCTTCCTTTTTCTTCTTTTTTTTTTCTTCTCCTCCTCCTTCTTCTTTTTCTTCTTTTTTTTTCTTCTTCTTTTTCTTCTTCTTCTTCTTCTTCTTCTTCTGCTTATTATTATTATTATTATATTATTATTATTTTTAATATTTCACACATGAAAGGGAGGCTAGCACGTTGTTGTGTGATTTACGCAATCCATCTCTGGCACACTTTAATAACTCTTTCTGCACTGATTGTTAATGTATTTTAAATAGGCTAAGAAATAAACACTTACAGTTTTAATTCTCTTATTAATATCCAAAAGAGTTAAAAGTTTAAAACTGTAAATTTTCTTAATAACAGCCAAAGGAAGAAATGTTTACACTTGTGCAAATCTTATAAACAGCCACAGGAATGAAGTTTTACAATTGTGTGAATCTTACATACACAAAGAAACCAATTGCTCAGTAGTATATATTCTTCTATACAAAAGTTAAGAATTTACATTTTTGTATTAAAAGGCAACATAGTAAAGTTCAGAATTACACATCTTCTTCCAAGTACCAGGAAAAGAAAAAGTTTTGAATTTTTTTTATTTAAACAAAAATAAAAATAAAACAATGGCTACAGAATAAAAATTAAAAAAAAAACTCCTGTGTAGGTTAAGGGGCCCTATTATAGGAAAAACAAGAACAGACCCACTGCCTACCCAAAAGCATGTCGTAAGAGTCGACTAATTGACAGCTTCCTTCAAAGTTGGAGTACATCTGCCTGAGAGGCTAGGAACCAACAGTCTGCGCACAAAAGTGTCAGATCTGTCAAACGGATGCACACGCAACACTGAGGTTCTGGAACAGGACTGCAGTGCAGAAGTGGACGGACAACCAAACCTTTCCACCAGAGTCTACAGCAGGTCAACGCAAAGAAGAAGAAGAGAACAAAAAAAAAAAGAGTAAAGTTTATATAAACTGCCAAAGAATAAATAACTTTAGAATGGTACCCATGCCTGCGACGACCCATAACACGGACAAAAATGCCACGCAGCCTGTAGTTGGGTTACTTACGATTATGCTGGCTTATAAACAGCATACAGAGTCGCAATTTGAAAGCACTAACTTGACACGTATGTTTTCGCAAAGTGGTGGCGGTTCCCACGACAACAGCGGTATCCCACTGACCTCAATGTTCATGTCGTACAAACCCTGCAGACAAACAGAGTCAACACGCATTATTACAACATTTGATTGTGTTCAGTTTACATAATATTTCCCCCCAAACCCCTCTTATTAAATTTAATGAACTAGTATGAACAAACTCAACAGGGAGAAAAAAAATACTTCATCAATTTTTAGACTTCGGACAGAACACTGTGGTCTTCCAGCACACCTGTACAGGATAGGCGTAAAAGAATCTGCTGCCTGTGATTGTGGAGCAGAAAGACAAACTTTAGCACATACTACAGCACTGCCCTTACCTCTACCAGCAAAGACTGTGGATCTGGCCCAAAGGAGCCACATTGCAAGAGAAGCTATGGGTGACCGGTGGCGACCTTAAACTCACAATCCGATTTGTGACCCAGACGGGACTCAGTGTTTAGCATGACTGATGTCGAAGGCATAATAATAATAATAATAATAATAATAATAATAATAATAATAATAATAATAATAAGAAGAAGAAGAAGCTAATGAACTGTGTGTATGTTTATTATCAAACAATAAAACAGTTTTAAAAATTTGAGATGTCCACGACAAGGCGAATCCTATATATATGACTGACTGACTTTCTACCACACCAGGACATCACACAAGCGATAAACACCCGATGACACAAAGTGCCATCATGTGGGTGAGGATCACCGTGGAGAGGTCTCAGAAACCGCGTTCAGCCTTTAGGCCATATTTATGACAAGGCTATATTGCGGCCCCTGGGAAGAGCCAGAGTAGGGGCTTCAAATAACGAAAAATGTCATCCTAAAAAGGACGGGAAGTAGATACATATGACATCAAGCTGTATGATTAGGAATTACCGATATGGGGGAAATAAGTTGGGACAGAACTAGTGCTAACTTACAGACGACAAATCAAATGGTTTGGATTAGGGCCGGACTAGGACCCTTTGATGCTCTAAGTCAGTGGCTCTCAAACTTTCTAATGCCGCGACCCTTGAATACAATGCCCTCATGTTGTGGTGACCCCCAAACAATTATTTTCCTTCATAACTTCAATGGATATGTGTTTTCCGACGGTCTTAGGCGACCCCTGTAAAAAAGGTCGTTCGACCCAAAAAGGGTCGCGACCGGCAGGCTGAGAACCGCTGCTCTGAGCACTTACAAGATTTTGGTGTGCCCCTCCCCCCCCCCCCACACACACACACACACTTGAAAGATTTTATTGACCCAGCAGGGTAAATATAGATTTCGCGATTGTTATGTTGCCTGTCTTTCTTTCTACTTCTTTCTATGACTACCGATCAGTACAATGCCTGTTTTTCTGTTATACATAGGAATTTGAAAAGATAAAGCAACCACATCCCTTTCGACTTTTTTTTTCTCTTCCGCACTTTAGTTTCCAAACTAAACACAGGCCCTCAACCAAATCATGCAAAGTCGTTCTAGTTTTTGCTATCACGTCTAGCTCACCCCATTCTGTCAACATCTACTCTTTGAGGTTGAAGGTTTGAATAACGGATCAACATCAAGACACACGGGTAGTCACCCATAAGTGCTCCGTTCTTCTTCTAACTCAAGTCTGAGCCCGAAGTAGCTCAGCGTATTGCATGGGCTCCGAATCACCGGTGAGGATCCTGAGATATTTTGGGTAGATTTTTAATTCAAAATGTTGCCCGGCAGCGCCGTTAGGCTACTCTTTTTGATTTCCAACTGCCAAAAGATTTTTTTACGTGCGCAACAATACACACGGGCATCCGATCTCACTACACAGAGACCAAGAGAAATTACTTGAAGTCCACGTGAACAGAAAAAATCCCAGCCTTCACCTGGGCTTGAACCCAGGACCTCTAGCACTTGAGACGGACACCATACCTCGAGACCACGCAGCCCCCCGCCCCCGCTCTACTCTTTTACTATCGCATACACAAATAACTTTTTTTTTAAACGCAAGTCCAGCATCTAGCAGTTCTACACAAAATGGGAGGAATTTAAGAGGAGTGAACAAAATACGAGAAATGTCTTGGCAACCAGCAGTATCAACAATTATAAGACAGAAAATATGGTGCATTATTGGATACATTCTAGGGTTACCACATAGGCACTGTAATGGCAAATAGATGGATTGAAAAAACAAAATCGAAGCGATTGAACATAAAAGAACGGACTGGATATATAGACTGTGAGCCCTAAGTGCTTGTATAATGGCACTATAGGACACAGAGTCTGCTGCTGCTTTTTCTATTTCTTCTTCTTCTTCCTCAGCGATCTCTGGTCTTGCGCTTATCCCACTCTGGGACATAGACAGAGATGTTATTTAAAAGTCTCTTAGGTCTCCCCCCCCCCCTCCCGCCCCGTAAATGAGTGGTAGTCGAGTCTGCTGGTCCAGAGAGTAAGCGAAAGATTAGGACAATGAACAAAAGTAGTTCTAAAGGGGGAAGTTAAGCAAACAGGTCTTTCAGGGAAGAGACGCTACGGATCTT